CACTCGGCGGCGTCACATTTTTCACGCTTCAACCGCTCGTTCCGATCGGATTCCTACCTCTCTTCGACATTTTGCTGCTCGCGGGCTGGTTATTCCAAGTTTAATCGCTGGTTTGCCAATGGGATGGTTTAATTATTAGCATTAAGAAAAACGTGGAGATTTTATTCTACTTACTTCGCCGGAAACGAAAACGAAAAGGAGGGAAATACGGTGTGACCGCACGTCTTTCGTCAAATTATACCGCAAAATATCGAAAAAATAACCTAATTATTACCAAGAACATGGTGGAATGGAGCAGAACTTTGATAAAAGTCTAGCGAGGACTCAAGCCGACGACGTTTCTTAGCAAACGAAAACAAGTTGGCAGGGCTGGCCATGCTAATGGCGTGTTCACACCGGGTACTGCAAGTTGCAGTCTGCAACTAGAGCTGCAAAAACATCGATGGTAGCCCCATCGATAGTCTTGATAGTTTGCGGACTAAACCTCGATTCTATCGCGATAGTATCGCTCATATATAAGCATTAGGGGTATTCATGTAAAACCAATATAATAGGGGTATTTTTTAAAATAAATTATTATTTTCAATTATTGACAATTAAAAACGCAATAAGTTAAAATTTATATAATAAATAATACATATTTATGAGAAATCAAATAACATTTCTTATGTTATAAACCAATTTGGCTGTCTTTCCATCTTTGGTCCTCTCAAAAAGATCCCACACCGAACTTCCAAGCCGGTTGACCTTTTTTAACGACTTTGCTCCCTGCACGTTGCACACGATTTCCACATCCTGCTCCACACCCTGCTTCACATTCTGCACCTAACCTTGTGTCCACCAACAGTTTGAAGAATATATGTGAATTTAAGCTCTTTATATCTTCGCCATTCACTTGCTTTTTGCACCGCCAGACATTTTTAAGGAACCACAGCAACACCGGAAATACCAGAATATGAATATTTCTGTCGAAAACCACATAACCGTATATTGAGATCACGGGTAGGTGGCGCTTTTCAATCTCGCTTTGCTGCTTGCATATCTCCATTAATTACGTTTTATTTACATTTTAATTACGTTTCATTATTAAAGTGCAGTTTAATTACGTTTTTCAAATGTATTTTAATTACGTTTCGTTATTTAAATGCCTTTTAATTACGTTTCGTTATTCAAATGCATTTTAATTATGTTTTGTTATTTAAATGCCTTTTAATTACGTTTCGTTATTCAAATGCATTTTAATTATGTTTCGTTATTTAAATGCATTTTAATTACGTTTCATTATTAAAGTGCAGTTTAATTACGTTTCGTTATTCAAATGCATTTTAATAACGTTTCGTTATTTAAATGCATTTTAATTACGTTTCATTATTAAAGTGCAGCTTAATTACGTTTCATTATTAAAGTTCAGTTTAAATTCGTTTCGTTATTCAAATGCATTTTAATTACGTTTCATTATTAAAGTGCAGTTTAATTACGTTTCATTATTAAAGTGCAGTTTAATTACGTTTCGTTATTCAAATGCATTTTAATTATGTTTTGTTATTTAAATGCCTTTTAATTACGTTTCGTTATTCAAATGCATTTTAATTATGTTTCGTTATTTAAATGCATTTTAATTACGTTTCATTATTAAAGTGCAGTTTAATTACGTTTCGTTATTCAAATGCATTTTAATAACGTTTCGTTATTTAAATGCATTTTAATTACGTTTCATTATTAAAGTGCAGTTTAATTACGTTTCGTTATTCAAATGCATTTTAATAACGTTTCGTTATTTAAATGCATTTTAATTACGTTTCATTATTAAAGTGCAGTTTAATTACGTTTCATTATTAAAGTTCAGTTTAAATTCGTTTCGTTATTCAAATGCATTTTAATTACGTTTCATTATTAAAGTGCAGTTTAATTACGTTTCATTATTAAAGTGCAGTTTAATTACGTTTCGTTATTCAAATGCATTTTAATTATGTTTCGTTATTTAAATGCATTTTAATTACGTTTCATTATTAAAGTGCAGTTTAATTACGTTTCGTTATTCAAATGCATATTAATTACGTTTCGTTAATTATGTTTCGTTATTTAAATGCATTTTAATTACGTTTCGTTATTTAAATGCATTTTAATTACGTTTCATTATTAAAGTGCAGTTTAAATTCGTTTCGTTATTCAAATGCATTTTAATTATGTTTCGTTATTTAAATGCATTTTAATTACGTTTCATTATTAAAGTGCAGTTTAATTACGTTTCGTTATTCAAATGCATTTTAATTATGTTTCGTTATTTAAATGCATTTTAATTACGTTTCATTATTAAAGTGCAGTTTAATTACGTTTCGTTATTCAAATGCATTTTAATTATGTTTCGTTATTTAAATGCATTTTAATTACGTTTCATTATTAAAGTGCAGTTTAATTACGTTTCGTTATTCAAATGCATTTTAATTACGTTTCGTTATTCAAATGCCTTTTAATTACGTTTCGTTATTCAAATGCATTTTAATTATGTTTCGTTATTTAAATGCATTTTAATTACGTTTCATTATTAAAGCGAAGTTTAATTACGTTTCGTTATTTAAATGCATTTTAATTACGTTTCATTATTAAAGTGCAGTTTAATTACGTTTCGTTATTCAAATGCATTTTAATTATGTTTCGTTATTTAAATGCATTTTAATTACGTTTCATTATTAAAGTGCAGTTTAATTACGTTTCGTTATTCAAATGCATTTTAATTACGTTTCGTTATTCAAATGCCTTTTAATTACGTTTCGTTATTCAAATGCATTTTAATTATGTTTCGTTATTTAAATGCATTTTAATTACGTTTCATTATTAAAGTGCAGTTTAATTACGTTTCGTTATTCAAATGCATTTTAATTACGTTTCGTTATTCAAATGCATTTTAATTACGTTTCATTATTAAAGTGCAGTTTAATTACGTTTCGTTATTCAAATGCATTTTAATTACGTTTCGTTATTCAAATGCAATTTAATTACGTTTTGTTATTCAAATGCATTTAATTACGTTTCGTTATTCAATTTAATTACGTTTCGTTATTAATTCGTTTAATTATTAACGTTTAATTACGTTTCGTAATTCAAATGCATTTTAATTACGATGTTTTTATTTCGTTATGCATTTTAATTTCGTTATTAAATACGTTTCATTTGTATAATTATAATTCAATTTAAATACGTTTTATTATTAAAATGCAATTACGTTTCGTTATTAGTTGCAATTTAAATACGTTTTATTATTAAAATGCACCCTCGATTCTATCGCGATAGTATCGCTCATATATAAGCATTAGGGGTATTCATTAGAGGGGTCAAAACATCGATTTATTGAGACATCGATGTTTTCGATGTTTTTCACCCAAAACATCGATGAAACATCGATGTTTTAAAAAATTAAAATTAAATTTTGGTAATTCTTAAATAGTCGGGCCGGAACGATTCGACTAATTAACAATAATCCATATTTAGAGGGCGATGAATTATGAATTTTGATGTAAAAATTATTTTGGGGACGCGCTTAGTTTTTTTTTTTTTAGTATAACAAATTTCATTTATTTAACGTTGATCAGCCAACCTAATGGCTATAAAACGTTGTGTACGAAGAGAAATAATAACGTGGATACATAACAGAAAAGGTGATTAACAATATTTACAATAAATGAACAAAAACAATTTTATTGCTTTAGGACTCGAGAGACCTGACGTCCTCTTGTCCAGAGATCACCGGGGTGCCTTCGCTTTAATCTTCTTCTAGTCCTTGGGTGGGCCAAGGAAGCTGCTAGGTGGTTTTCGTGTGCAGTGAGCCGATCATTGTACCGACTAGAGTGCCGGTTTATCTGCTCCCTGACTGAGGGAACATGAAGGTCATTTGTTAGGGCGTCATTCCTGATGTACCACGGCGCGTCTGCAATCATGCGCAGCGCACGGTTTTGGACCCTTTGGACTTTCATGACGTTCGAGTCTGAAGCCATGCCCCACAGTTGGATGCAATACGTCATTGAGGGCACCACAATTGCTTTGAACAGCAAGACTTTGTTGCCAAGGCTGAGCTTGCTCGTTGGCTTAAGCAACCAGTTCAGTTTTCTCAGCTTAGCTCTACATGAAGCTGCTACTTTGGTAGTGTGCTGCTTCCAGGTGAGCCGCTTGTCCAGGATCAAACCCAAATATTGCGCATGGGGTGATTGTGGTATGGTGATATCCAGAAGCTCTACTGTGGGAAGGATCTTTCCTCTCAAGGTGAAATTGCAGTGTTGCGACTTTTTTCCATTTATGGATATGTTCCACCTATTTGTCCACTTCCCGTAAAAGTCGAGGAATTCCTGGGAGAAATTTTTAAAACCTAACAGGGTGCAGTCACATGTAGCATAATACGTACATATGTATATGTATACGTAACTATGTTAGGTTGCCACACATATATGTATACATATACATACATATGTCTTATATTTAAGCTCTTTATATCTTTGCCATTCACTTGCTTTTTGCACCGCCAGCCATTTTTAAGGAACCACAACAACACCGGAACCACCAGAATATGAATATTTCTGTCGAAAACCAAAAAAATTTAGTATATATTACATTTTCCGTATGCAAAATGTGCGTACCTTCTTATAAGTTCGAATTTTTTGTAAAACTATCGTGATAGTCTGAAAAATATCGAAGTCGGTCACCGGCGGCCAACCATCGATACTATCGATGGTTCCATCGATTTTTTTGCAGCTCTATCTGCAACATCATTTGCGTTTATAAGCTGAAACGGACTATTATCTTACGTGTGAAAACCCAAGCTATCTCTAGCCGTTTTTAATTGATCGAATTCGAATGCTACCCAATAAAATGTTTAAATTTTTTTGTTTTTATTAGAAACGATTTAAAAAATAAACATATTTTAATTATTACGCTGAATGCAAAACCAATGGACACAAATCGAAAATACACACTTTTCATGATGATCAATTGGATTTCTTTTTAGAATATTTATTGTTTATTTATATTTTTTCACTTATATATATTTATGATTGAGTTTTTTAAAGCAGAATCGGTAGTTTCGTCCCACAAGATACTCACCAAAAACGAATTATAATATATATTTTGTGTTATTTATTCTGCTGTTTGAGCTTGCTTTTGGAGCATAACGGCATGGGACACTTCTTCTCCTTACATTTTTTTGCGTGGTATTCGCAGACTGCGTCGAACTGCTTGCAGGTGCGACAATCTCCATCCGCCTTGCGTTGACAGTTCTTCGTGTGCTGAATGACGCGTTTTGTAATCCTGCATTTTCGGTTGGAGCAGTTGGAGCATTGGACGGCGTGCAGCAACGTATGGACACACAAGTCGATATTCTTTTTGAACTGCTCGCGAGCCAAGCCCTGATAGCCACGAGCCATCCCGTTAGTCATCGTCTATAGTTTTAAAAAGTCAAACGGAAACCCAAAAATTTTGTGATGATCTACTGATTTTGAGTTTCGAATGTAAATTTATGTATTTTTATCACGGTTAATACTAACCAGGAAATAAATTGTAAAACAAAATAAAAAATTGTTTATAATCTGTCTGTATGAACACTCAATAAAAAGACGTCTTATTTTTTCAAGCTCTAAATGAACACTGCACTTTTTTAAAATCCTTACGCAGGTAGCAAACACAAGAGGATCCGGAGAGAACCTTTCGTGGATTGGGTACCAACTAAAGCGATAATATTTCGGGTTAGGCTCAAGTGACCTGCAGGTATGTGTGTATAGGACCGTGTCATTTTAGGGTTTCAGCTCTAGAAAAACGAATAGAGGTAATAAAATCTTCTACTTCGTACTTGAGCTCATGTGGTGAGCCATTCTATTTACAATGTATAATGTACATGTATAAATATGTATAATGTATATGTAACCATAGTTAACCCTTTTCTTAGAAAAATTAACAAAGTGTTCCCTCAGATATCTAATACTATGAGAATTCCAAAACTACCAGATTAGCACACACGTTTGGGAACTGTTTGGAAACTGTATACGTGATCAGACTAACGATACATTCTAGATAGATCTAAACAGCAACAGGCACTAGGTCCACCGCACGTACTGCCCATTTTGATATGATTGCACATTAAATAAAAAATGTTCTCATGAATTGGTGTAAATGCTTTCACTTTTTATCTTACTTAATTTGTTTATTATACCCGTTACTCGTAGAGTAAAAGGGTATACTAGATTCGTCGGAAAGTATGTAACAGGCAGAAGGAAGCGTTTCCGACCCCATAAAGTATATATATTCTTGATCAGAATCACTAGCCGAGTCGATCTAGCCATGTCCGTCTGTCCGTCTGTCCGTCTGTCTGTCCGTCCGGATGAACGCTGAGATCTCGGAAACTATGGGAGCTAGGCTATTGAGATTTGGCGTGCAGATTCCTGAGCTTCTTACGCAGCGCAAGTTTGTTTCAGCAATGTGCCACGCCCACTCTTACGCCCACAAACCGCCCAAAACTGTGGCTCCTACAGTTTTGATGCTAGAATAAAAATTTTAACATTAGTGTATTCTTCTCATCAATACCTATCGAGTGACCCGAAAAAAAATTGCCACGCCCACTCTAACGCCCACAAACCGCCCAAACCTGTGACGGCCACAGTTATCAAGCTAGATAAAAAATTTTAACTGAAATGTATTGGTCTCGTCAATACCTATCGATTGATCCAAAAAAAATGTTGCCACGCCCACTCTAACGCCCATAACGCTTAAATCTGTCTACCGCCGGTAGGTGGCGTATTTATCTCGATTTGCTGCTTGCATATCTCCATTTCCCTTTGGCCCCTTTAGCTGAGTAACGGGTATCTGATAGTCGAGGTACTCGACTATAGCGTTCTTCCTTGTTTTTATTTCTTTTCTACAATCAACCAACTGAAAGAATTAATTTCAAAATGTTTCTAATCGGTTTCTGATAATGATTTTAGTTGCATGAGCTAGCTCCAAGGGTGTAAAAACTTCGTCTCATTTTTTTCTTGCTTTGGTTCACGTACATCAGCGTTCACTGTACCTGGAACTAGTTCCATCTCAGATAAGGTTCCGGAGAAGAAGCAGCACATTCAGCTGTTTTCCTATTATCATCTGTTGATTGCATTGCATTGTTCGCTTCGACTCGCCTATTCGGAGGCGAAACAAAGAGATGTGAAAAGACCTGCAGAACATTCCAAAAACCACAACTCCGCCCACCAAGATGCATTCCGCCCAGGCGCAGGCTCAGGCCCGCGACAAGATATTCAAGAACTGGAAGGGGATCAGCGAGGTGACCATCATAAAGGAGGTGGCCACCAAGGGCGAGCACATCGACCTGTGCATGGAGTACTGGGCCCAGAAGAGGAAGATCCCCGTCTCGGAGTACCGCCACTACTTTTACGACGTGGTGCAGGCCTATGTGCAGCGCCTGCTTTCCGAGCGACTCGTTTGCAAGGCGGAGGATGTGATTCGGAACGTCGACCGGGATGTTAAGTGCTTCTTCTTCCAGTTCGCCTGCGAGTGCCAGGACGAAGAGTTGTGTGAGTTCGTCCTGGATCACCTACGCAATCGAGAGCCCCTGATGTACGAGCAGGAGGAGCCAGTCCTCGCATACCATTGGTCCCTGGTCCAGCAGCTGCGGGAGTGTGAGTCCCTGGTGGCCAAGCATCGGGTGCATCTGCCGCGTGTCCACATAGAAGCCTTGATGACACTGCCGGAGGACGCCCTGCAGTTGCTTCTCGTAGAACTGTACTTCGCCAATGGCAATGAATCTCTACTGGGATCCCTGTCCAAGAAAATGGTCTGGCAGCATCTGGTGGATAGTGACGAACAGGCGAAGCTTCAACGCTGGTGTCGCTGCCAGGAGGAGAGCTTTGAAGCCCCGGAAACGCTCTCTCCCCTGGAACAGGGCTTCGCCGCCTGGAAAATAGATGATAGCATGTATGAGTATGCCCTGGAACAACTGCGGCAGCCCAACGAAGTGCTGCGAAACTTCTTTGCCCGCGCGGGATACTTTTTCACTGATGAGTCTGGCGATATTCCATCTCTGCTGCGTCGCCTTTGCACCATGGAGTGTTTGGGAAAACACGCGGATCTCCTCAGCCGTCAGCCTCTGGCCAAATATCTGCTGAATCGCGGTCAGTACTCGCTGCTCCTCATGGAATGTGTTCCTGTAGCGTCGCTGGAACAGCTGGCCGGCACTGAGACCCACCAGGAGAGTCTGATTAACCTAATCGTTGATTTAAAAACGAATTCCCTGACCGAGAATGAGGGCTTCGAGTTGGTAAGTCAGGAAATCTAATCCTATCTTTATAATTAGTCCGCAAAAAGTGACTTAAAGTATGTAAATGATATCATAATTTAAAATTGTAAAATGTAGTTGATTACTTATAATTATTTGTAATCAGTTTAGACTTTATATTTTTTTCTCCGACATAAACATGACTTAATATAAATCTAGTTCCTATTAAAATCACAAGTTTAAAACATTTATTAATTATACCTGTTACTCGTAGAGTAAAAGGGTATACTAGATTCGTCGGAAAGTATGTAACAGGCAGAAGGAAGCGTTTCCGACCCCATAAAGTATATATATTCTTGATCAGGATCACTAGCCGAGTCGATCTAGCCATGTCCGTCTGTCCGTCTGTCCGTCTGTCTGTCCGGATTAACGCTGAGATCTCGGAAACTATGAGAGCTAGGCTATTGAGATTTGGCGTACAGATTCCTGAGCTTCTTACGCAGCGCAAGTTTGTTTCAGTAGACTGCCACGCCCACTCTAACGCCCACAAACCGCCCAAAACTGTAACTCCTACAGTTTTGATGCTAGACAGAAATTTTTTTTAAAATTTTAACTGAAATGTATTGTTCTCATCAATACCTATCGATTGACGTAAAAAAAAGTTTGCCACGCCCACTTAAACGCCCACAAACCGCGAAAACCTGTGACGCCCACAATTTGCATGCTAGATATAAAATTTTAACTGAAACGTATTGGTGTCGTCAATACCTATCGATTGATCCAAAAATAAATTTGCCACGCCCACTCTAACGCCCATAACGCTTAAATCTGTCTACCGCCGGTAGGTGGCGCATTTTAATCTCGCTTTGCTGCTTGCATATCTCCATTTCCCTTTGAGTAACGGGTATCGTTCTTCCTTGTTTTTAAATTCTTTTTACTTGCTAGAAGCATTTTTAAAATTAAATGTTAGCTTCAGCAGCTACTAATTAATACTTTTCTTTTAGATTTCCAAGAGCGTCCAGGCATATTTGGAGAAAACTCACGATACAGCCGACTCCTTTGAAGGACATCCACTGCTCACCTTCTACGACTTTCTGGGGCAGGAGCCAAGTGTGCGGTCCCTGGAGGGATTCCTCACTTCCACAAACTTGGGTCGTGTGCCGTATCTCAAATCGCTGATTGCTCGTTTCGACCACGGACCGACTGGCAGCAGTTCCAGCCTGCCCACAGCCCATGATCTTTTTTTGAAGTTCAAGCAGGTTAATCTACCGCTCCTGGCCACCGCTGGACATGGTGAACTGGTCAGCTTCTCAAATGCGCGCCTCTGTCAGCGCTATGCAAGGAAATCTCAATTAAATTACACACATTATCTGAAGCAACAGAGGAGTGCCTATGCCGTTTATTATCTGATCGCTGAGCAACTGCAGCTTTATGGTCAGATCACAAAGACTCAACTTTTCCACGCCTGCGAGACGGTTACTCAGATGGCACTGCAGCACGCGGGTGATGAGGAGCTTGTAACCCATTGCGTTGCTTGCTGCGAGATGTTGGGCTTTGATACTCAGCCACTGAGGAGCTTTCTACTGCTACAGAGGAGGTTACCAAAGTCCAGGAGCGGAGAAAGTTACTCGGATTCGCTGGCTGAGTGGGATCGGGATTTAGTGCAGCAGCTCGAAGCAAATCCCAAAGAATTTCCTTTGGAACTATATCAATCACTAATGCGCCTGGCTGTTCGAGATACTCCTGGAAAACTTCCAGCGGGCTTGCTCGAATACTATGCCTCTAGAAATGACTGGTGGCACTTGCTTCTCATCTTTCAATACTTCGATCTTCCTTTAAGTGAACTAAAAAAGCTCTTGCCGCACTTTAAAGCCTCTCCAATCGGTGTGCATCTGCTGCGCGCCTTGAGTTTCGAATCCTCTGGCGATCGTCAGCACAAAAGGAGTTTCCAAAGACCGCCTCGTCGTAGCGGAGAAACGCAGACAAACTCCTCGCAAGAAACGATGACTAACTCTTCACACAGTTCGAACCAAGAAACCAGCATGCAGCAGCTTCAAAGGAACACGGAACAATCCCTTTGCACTTTGCTAACCCACACAGCTCGCCAGGATATATTTGCCATTATACTGTGCAGTACCAATAGTCTGCCAGATGAAATTATTCCCACCACAGCAAAGTTTCTGGAGATTATGGTTGGCAATGCCCCGCATTGCACAAGTATCAATCTCTTGAGGCACTGCATCCGACAGGAGCTGCCTATCTTGGCTGTGCTGGCAGTCACACTCAGCGAACAGAATCGGGATTGGTGCTGGATCGTATGGCTCTCTGTTTCCAGCGGTCAGTGGAGCCACCTAATGCAGGAGGCCTGCAAGGTGCGCGAGGAGAATCGAGAGGAGTGGGTGTGGTCAGTCATCCGAGGAGCTGTAGCTAGTGGACATGTGAATGCTCTGCTACACAGCCTAGAAATATTTCAGCCAGTGGGTATAAGAGTTTCTAATAAAATAACGTGGTTAATTAAACAATCTATTTCCGTTTCAGGAGTGCAAATTTACGCATCTGTTCCGTTTTCTTCAGCTGACAGCCCACCAGGAGGACTTCAGCGATGGTACAATCGTAGAGCTACGTCAGTTCTTTTTTAGCTGGAGCCAGAATTCAGTTTCTTTGCCACTTTGTGGTGCCCTACCCAGAAAGCAAGTAATGCAACGCTCCATTGGCTTGCTTATCGTCCAACTGCAGTCCAATTTTGACTGCATTTTGCAGCAGCAGCGATTCCTCGACTGCATCTGTCGCTCGGATGTGGGTGATATTTGTGATCTGCTTGATTTCTGTCTCCTACATAAAGTTTTTGGCGTGGCAGCCACCTGGCTTCGAGAACTTTCCATTGATCTGGAGCAGCTAGTAAAGAAGGACAGCTTAGAGTACAAGCGGCTGGTAGATACCCTCACGGAAGCTCGAGCTTATGAGGAAGCCCTTCAACTAGCCACCTTGCTGCAGTTGCCGCTAAGTGATATTGTTTATCGCAAATGGATGGCCGAGCTGGAAGCCGGTGAACTACGACCCCATCAGGAGTATGAAAAGGAGATTCAACAGCACTCTCTAGCACCCGCCATTCTAGTGAGTTTTCTGCTGCAAGCGGCTTCCTCCGTCGACCAAGTGGGTGTGCTACGATATGAGCTGCTTCAGAGTACGCTGGGCGTGATCAAACAGCACCATCTATTTCCTAACGAATCCTTTGATCGTGATCAGATTGAGTATGATATGGTTTTGTGCTATCTGCTGCTGCCGGAGGATCAGCTGTCCCAGCTATCAATTTACCACTCGGAATACTTTGAGCATATCATGCTTCAAGAGCGCTGTGTGCTTTATAAATCCTTCTCGGAACTCAAGGAACTTGCAGGAATTGATGACCTCAGCATTTCTGATAAGACTAAGCTAACTCCAGAGATGGAAAGCAGACTCAATACTTTACTGAATACGTTATTGGACAAGGGCGACATTGTGGAGGCACTGCGACTTCAAGAGCTGTTTGAATTTCGGCCAAATGATCTTAGATTTATTGTATTTGCGATGGCACTAGCCGAGGGCATGACCAGCATTAGTAAACTGTCAAGCAAGGAACGACAGCTGCTGGGCGAGATTGAGAAGAGTGCATTCCCCAAGTTTAATCGGATTACTCTTAACCAAAATGTGATGACGCGTTGGGACAGTGATCTTTCTGACAGCTGTTCGGACACGGTGGCGATGGAGTTTGAAGAGATTCCCTCCAAAGAGAAACAGCAGACTCTGGACACCTTGCTCGGCATAGGATCAAAGTTAAAATACGGCGTGGAGCTTGGTAGACGTATTGTTCTTGCCTATAGGGCAGCAATGTATTTGGACAAGGAATACCTGGATGTGCTGCGTACCAAGGATGCTAGTGTGCTTTTAAAGAGCGCTGCTGCCGAGAATTGCTTGCAGCGTCTGATGGTGGTCAGTGATATACAAATATCCACGCGGATGACACCAAAAGAAGTGAGTTCTTGTAATCTTTTAGTACAGCAATCAGTTTGTAATCCGTTTTTGACCCTAACAGATTGCCGAGTGCATAGCCCTGGAGCTGACCACCTGTATTGTACGTCCCCGGTTCTATATTTTTAGCGCCAAAGAGCAGCCAAGAAATGCTTTGAGAAACGCTGATCTCTGGGGCCACAGCATTGATCGGGATTTCCACTTGTTCCTAGAACTGGCTCCCAATTCAACCATGTTGGGTAACTGTTTGCTGGAGTTTTGTGATGCCTTAAAGATCTATCGTCGATATCAGGACGGAAAGGTATTCGAGGAGACTGAAGCCTTCAAAAATCTGTCAAAGGTTATAAAACTCTATGGATTGCCCACGCCCTCTCCTACGGGAACCATATCCGGCATTCCCCAGGTGTTGTCCCACAAAAAGTTGAATCAAATCTACGTTGAGCTGTTGATCAAAGCGCACTTGTGTTTCGTGCACGAGTGCTCCATGGAGGGCATTGTGAGTGTTCTTCAGAAAGCTAAAGTTCTAAATGGGCAACTGGCCCAGGCGAAATCCTGGTCGCTGATTGTCCGGATGCTGATTGGAATAGCACGTTACCGTGAGATGTTCTACTGCTTCGATTCATTGATTGAAAACGAGCAGTTCGAGTCCTTGTTGGGACAGTTCGATGAGGATCAAAAGGGCGGACTACGGCAGGCTATTCTCAGCTACCTAAGGGAGTACCAGCCAAAGAATAGCAAGGAACTGCTGCGTCTGGCGGCCCTTCACTTCCTCATGTACAAGGAATTGGCGGAGATGTGGACCACGGAGGCCCAGGAGATAGTCAACAAAATCCAAGCCCTCGCAGAACAGTCGAACAAACTGAAATGCTCGTCGGAGGTGCAATCTCTATTGCAGCAGGCCTTGGAAAATTACACCCATGCTACGGAGAACTATTTGTTGGACAACAAGCTCTTGCTGGCTCAGCAGTGTGTTTCCCGGGCGGAGCTGATGGCCATGCAGCTGGATCTGTGCAACAAGGCTCTGGAAAAGCGGCACAATACCAACACCAACAGTATGTGCGTGAGCGTCATTGGAGTAAGGACAAGAGAACAGTTTCGGGAATTGGTCAACAACCATCTGAGGTATGTTATATTTGGGGTTGAAATAATGTAACGTTTCATATATTTTATTTTTAATTTCAGCGTACCCCAAACTTTGATTCTTGGTCGAGCCTATGGTTATGATATTAACTGGAGCGAGGCCATCTTGTCTCAATTCGTAGTTCTTCAAGTATCACATTATCTTCAGGAATATCTGTGCCATCAGCGAATTAATGACGATGTGATTGAACAGGTGGTCAAGGGGTAAGAATGTACTATATTCCGACAACTTACTTTACTAAAATTTCCTTTATTTTCATAGTTACTTGCTTCACGCCCAAAGTAATGCCACAAATTCAAAGCAGGAGGAGTCTTTGGCCCAGCTAGTGGAACTAATCAAATCGGTGGTTCTGAAGTACAAACTTGCTTCGATTTTGGGACTCAAGTCCATCGTGATGTCCTTAATCAACGATTCCTCAGTTTATTATCTGAGAGATACAAACTTCGGTCGCAGCGAATTCCACACGGCAGGGGATACGTGACATATATACCATTGTGATTTTAAACTGTTTTTATGTAACAAAATTAGCACTGAATACGTTATTACAAATATACAATTACAAATAGTTAAACTTTTCGACGGATAGCGTTTCGTCAGGTGTTGTGGCAGTTGCCAATGTTTTTGGTGATGCTTCAGTTGCTGTTTCTTTGGGCAGGAGATCATTCCACGGCTGGACAGTCATTCGACCGAAGATTAAATAGAACAAGTTGCCCAGGAAAAGAATAGCGGAGATACCAAGGAAAACAAATCGCCATTGCATGCGATCCGACTAAAAATAATACAAAATAATTATAAATATAGTATTATGTTAGATATGCCTTAAGCAAAACCTTGTTAAATAGTATCTGACTATACTATAGCATCCCATTTACCATAGGTTTTGTTATCAATCCTCACCTCATTGGTAACAGTCAGTCCAATAAAGATGGGTGATATCACCCCAGCCGCAGACATCAAGGTGTTGCTGATCCCAAATAGCAGTCCGGCGAAGTTTGGCGACAAGTCCACGTGGTTGAGGGAACTTCCGATAGCCTGTCCGGAAATGGCAGCTGTTGCTGCGACCAGACAGCACATACTGCCCACAACATTCTGGTCGCTGACGTAGGACAGACTCACCAAGGCTACAGCCGGTGTCCAGGTGGCGAATGAATTGATGGTCTTTCGCAGAATGGGTAACGGAATGTCTCGATATCTGGTCAAGTATTCAGCCAGGAAAATAAATCCGTAGGAGGACATCAGCATGACGACGAAGGGCAGTGCGGAGAGCAGAGCATTGACTGCAATACTGTAGTGGAAAACGCCGTGAATGTAGCGCGGTATTTGCTGCATTAGCGTGTAGAAGCTGCATGCCTGACTCATCTTACACAAAGCCAACACGATAAATGGACGCGAGGTAAGGATTTGGAGCCAGGGCACTGGAGGAGTCTCACCCCGAATCACCTTATTCTGCTCCAGCGCCAATTGAATATGTTTGCGCTCCGCCAGTGAAATGAATCTTGATTCGGATGGACTGTTGGCACCGTAACGTAAAAAAAGAAGGCACCAAACAATTCCCAAATAACCTGGGGATGGAAATAAAGCTTGATAATTGCATACTAAGTAAATCCCACTGACTAAAAATTAGGCTTTTAAAGGGACTTAATTCAGTTTCAATGGCCTATTAACCGTTATTTATTATGGGGATTTATTAACCTTTTATAATGATTTATGGTTCATTAAAACATTTATGATAAGTATTACAGAATTTATAGTTCGCTTTTAGTTAGAAAATTGATCATTTTTGATGATTATGAAGAATACTAATACATTTTCCTAATATACTAGCCTTTCACTTGAAAAACATCTAACTTTTTGTTTTTTAAGAAAGAAATATATTTGTTCCTAGCCTTTTGTATAACTTTAAAGGACAAGAAGTGAACTCACCTGGCACATAAAAGGTGCTGGGCCAACAAGTGGCGAGGCGGACAGCACACCACTCAAGGCAAATCCAATTATGGTCCCGCAATCCAGGCCCGTCGTCATGACGCCGCCCAGTCGATTCGCCTCCTTCTTGGGGCACCACTTGGCCAGATGGGTGTATAGGCAGGGCCACATGCCGCCCATGAAGAGTCCCTGGACAAAGCGGACGCAGAAGAGCAGCTGCCAGCCGCCCCAGGCCAAGGCGATGGGCGTGGCAATGCTGAGTAGGGCGGTGAGGAGCATGATGGCCAGAAGCAGCATCTTGGCTCCAAAGCGACTCGACAGATAGCCACTCATCATTTGGGTGCAACACGACCCCCAAAAGGGACTACTTATCGTATACGACTTCTGCTGCTCCGTCAACTTATATTCCGGATAATTTGGGTTACTGCTATTGGCATTGGTGAAGGCCACAATGGCCACGCTCATGTTGAACCTCTGGGCCACGGTCAAGGTGGCGCAGGTGAAGAGGAACAGCACCTGCAGGTGGCGAATGCCCCATTTGGGACCTGCGAAAACAAAAGACTTTGACAGCGAACTTGACATGCGCATCGAAATTTTCAGCTCACTTTTTACCACCAAGTTAAACGATTTTATCGTCATTGCAGGCCGCAACGATTACTGCGACTACCTCGAATCACCGAACTGGCAAATTGAAGATTGGCGACGCAAGTTAATAAGTAGCTGCAACTAGCTGTGCTGCAAAACTAGTTTACCCGCCAAATCTTAAAACTGGCTTTATCGAAACTCGAATTCTGGCCGCGTGCCGCTGACGAGTTCTATAATAAATATCTTGGTTATCTGTATAAGAATGTATTGAAAGTGAATCCAGATACCAGACGGCGCAAAAATAAAAACAAGATCTTAGATAATTCGGTTCAATTGTGACCTATATAATATAATAATAATATAGTAAGTCAAAAAAATATCCTAGTGTGGACAAAGTAAAAGAAATGTTTTAAAGTAAGTAGAACTATTTGAAGTACAATTTAAGATAGAAACTTATTAATCATCTCAATATAAGAATAATATCAAAGGGAGGTGCATAGTATTGATTTTTAATAACATTTTAAGGTAAGGATATAAAGTATTCAGAAAAGGTTACACTAATACATTTGATAACACTTTTCATGATCTTCAAAGCTTAAGCTTTTCCAATAGAAATTTAAGAGAGCGTTTCTTCTATTAGTTAAGAAACATAGCATACTTTTCGTCTGATCAATGTAGAATAATAAAGTTCGAGTATCTTTAATAATAGTTTCAACTTTCGCTAGGCATTTAGGTATGCTCTTAAAATATATATACCTTTTTAAAGCCCAATTGAAATGTATAATATATGGTTTATGTGTTTTTCGCCGATGAAATATTATAAATGAATGTTACAACTGCATTACTGTTTCTAAGATATAAATAAAAATATGTATGGATTTAAGAACTCCAAGTATTACTCACGAAAGATTTAAGAAAGAAAAGAAAACAAATCATATCACGTAAGTTTTAAGCTTTTAGATGCTTATCTCATAAGCAGTAGTCAATCATGTTGGTTTATTGACAGTTTTATAGTCGGTTGAGAAGCTATTCCATTTGTATATCTCGCCCCAATAACTCACCGCCCCGTGGGAGCTACACATTAGGTATAAAAACAAACAATAACAATGACGAGTACCTCAGTAGCTGGCGTTAAGTTCTTATCAGAGAGCAAATATAACACCGGCAGTCAGCCAGGCACTTTATATCAATCGGCAGACCTAATTACAATCACTTTGGTTCCGGGCATTAGACTGCCTTTTTTTATCAAATGACCAATCGATCGTTAAGCGATAATTACTGCTGAATTAGCCGATGATAAGATAAGGAGTGGAGACCTTACTCAACTTAAAAGTAGGCTGGTCTCAGGCAGGGATTCCACGGTCTTTGATGACCCATAGAACTTAATTCATAAAGTGCTAGTCTTACACTACAAAGTTTTTGAGTTGTCAAGAAATCAATCAACTTACGCCACTTGTAAATGATGGGAATCACAAGTGAGCAAATATTTAAAAGACCTATAAATCTCTTAAAGAAGCACCTTCCTCAACCGTTTGTAAACAAAGAGCCCTTAAATAGGAGTCTGAACTGATGCCGAGCCAAAAAACCTGTAACCCACCATTGATTCCATTCAACTGTTATCTTATTTAGGGCAGCTAGTTCAAATAGAGCAAAGTACACAGAGCGGAGAAAGAACTCAACAGTTTATTTCTAAGTATCACAAAATATCAGATATTCACAAACAGCTGTGGCAAATGTTTTTGAACCCATCGATAGAGGGGCAGTGCAAAACACTCAACTTTGGCTGTAGCCATTGACAATTGGTCGATCGAGCCGCAATTCAAAATAAATATAGGTACTTATATACATTTATAAGATAAATTAACAGATTAGATTGCGCCGCCCGATCGGACTTTTCCTCGATTCGAGGGCCCAAATCGCGAGCGATTGGTAACAACAAAGCGATTCAATTGGAAATAATTTACTTAAGCCTCGCGCTACAGTCACGCCTTATAAATAGAATAAATATAAATTACAGCCTACTTATAGTTAATACTGATTAACAAAAGCAATTGTTCTGGGCAGGCAGGGGTAGGGCAGCCATTTCCGCCACAAATCAATCGATGGCTTTGGCCGTATATCTCTCGGGCCAACTGATTTGCTGCTCCAGAACAGGATCGATGGGTGGGGCAACCTCTTCGGCAGTGGTTTTCGTCTTTTCGCAGGCAGATTCCGCATCCTTCGGCTTGAGGTAATCATCTGCATCCCAGGGCTGCGCCTTGGCGGTTCCCCAAATGATGAAGACCACGTTTCCAACAAAGAAAATGACAGCCGCCAGGCCAAAAACGATCTGCCATTGCCCGCGATTGTGCTGTGGAGAATTGGGAAATATTTATTATTATTGTTTTTTACTTGGGTTTTTCCATATACATTTTTTCGACAGTTGACTCACCTTATCGGCCACGATCTCTCCGGCAATCAGTGGTGTGAGGATGGGAATAACGTTTGCCACCGTATTGCTCAGTCCAATCAATATGCCAGCATGATTGGGTGACAGATCGATGGCATTCAGGGAACTGCCAATGGTGGCTCCACTATTCACGCCCACCGACACAGTCATCAGTACGATGGCCAGATTCTTGTTCTGCTGGCTGAGGAACCCTATGCCGATCAGGCAAGCGGCTGGTAACCAGAAGGAGAGCGTATTGAACACCTTCCTCACCGAGGTCAGGGACAGGATTTTCTTCTTCAGCAGGACATCGGCTACCACCAGATAGACGTAGGACAGCAGCCACATGGCCAAAAAGGGTAGCGATGAGAAGACCGCATTGCTCTGGATTTCCATGTTGAGGACACCATTCATATAGGAGGGTATCTCCGCCTGCAGGGTGCTCAGTCCATAGGTCTCTGCACACCGAGTTACCAGCAGGGCGAGGAAGGGCACCGAAGTCCAGATGGCCTTCCAGGGAATGGGTATCGTGCGCTCATGGAAGTCCTCAGTGTGCTCCAGCGAGGATTCAATGTATTTGCACTCGGCCTCGCCAACGAACCGGGATTCGGTGGCATTGTTGGAGGCGAATATCAGCCAAAGGAAGCACCAGGCGGCGCAGAGGGAGCCGGAGACATAGGATATGCCCGGCCAGCCCATGACGCCCTTGGCAATCATGCCACTGATGAACATGGCCAGCACAGTGCCGCAATCCGTGCCCGTGTAGCTGAAGGCGCCCAGGCGATTCCGCTCCTCCGGCGGTGACCACATGGCCAGGTGTTCCGTCACGCAGGGGAAGATTACACCCTGGAACAGGCCCTGCAGGATGCGGATGGCGCAGAACACCTGCCATCCGCCCCAGGTGATGCACCACGGGGTCATCAGACTGAACACGGCAGTGCCACAGCTGGCCACAAAGAGGACCACTTTGGCGCCGTAACGACGGCACAGGAAGCTCCCGGGACAAAGGGTCAGGATGTAGCCCCAGTAGAAACTGGAGAGTATGTAGGACTTCTGTTTCTCCGTCCATTGGTATTCCTGCGGGATTAGGCAGCCACGTCAGCCAAGTTGCATTACGCACTGCGTATCACTTGAGACTCACCGGAAAATTGGGATTCGTGGTGGCCGCATTGGTCATGGCCACAATGGCCACACTGACATTCAGACGGGCTATGTGCATTACGGTGAGGCCCAGGAAGAGCAAAAACGACTGCAGGTGACGAACGCCCAGGCGAGGGCCCTTCGATGGCTTGTGTGTCATGGTCGCCGCGTATAACCAGGAAGCTAATCCACCAGGAACACTTTAGGATGTCAGTTAACCGGAGGTCTGCACTGCTAGATTGGTAGTATGGTTCTAAGCCCAATCGCCATTGTATTGCCAACATTTATACGACAAGCGAAAGCTTTGAGAGCTTGGGCCGCAACGCCTGGCCATATCATTCACCTGTTTTTTTTTCTGTTTGGCAGGGGGACTAACAAGTGGGTCTCCAGAGAGATGGTTCAGTCACAATCAAGATCGTCGAAACTTTGACGCAACTCCTCGTTCCAGAAGCCGTCTGACGTACCCCACCCATTGTACCATTTTGCCAGCGGATTGAGAAAGCATATGCATATGTTCCTACGTATTATCAGCAAATATTGATGGATTTACACAAAGTGGTAGCTAAAACACAAAAAAACACCCTTACCCTCACAACACTCCATTTTAGCAGAGACGTGTTTATTTGCTTAAAAGATTTATGGCCCGATTATCAACTAACGCTTTTGTTTTGACAGACCTAAAAACGTAGTGAAATTAAATCCGATCTGCTGAAAGCTTCAAACGGAAAGCGGAAAAAGGCAAAACTTTACTCACCACCACCACACCACTCGAACCAATCAGAGCAGCCATAAATGAAAGATTTTATTTATTTTTTTGAATTCTTTATGGCTTTAATCTCGGCAAGACAATCAAATGTACTTGATAACCGATGCTACCACACCTGAAAAAAAACGAATTTAATGAAGAAACTACTTTTAAAATGTTAAAAAAGAGTCAGTTCGTTTATTAAAATTTCTTCATTTGAACAGCATATTCGCCATATGATGATGAAAAATTTGCTGAAATTATAAACGCGTGTATGTAAAATTCTCTGATTTGAACAGTATGGGTCATATTATGGTCCAGCAGAGTAGCATAGGTTGCATTAAAAAACTGATTGATAAATAGTATTTTCTAAGCTTTATGCTTACTAGGTATTACTATTAATAAATTCTATCTGATTTCGTATGAAATTATAATAAAGATATACAAAATTGGGCAACCAAAATCTCACACATAACACAAAATGCTCTAGAACTTACCTAGTTTGTTTGGAGGAATACCTGAAAATGTTGGTCAAGTTGTATTTATTTTGTTTTGTTTGTTTGTTCTTCTAAGTGCAGCTTAATAAATAATCAACAAAACGATAATGTACACGGCCAAAGTACTTATAATATTTATGTCAATTTATTGAACTTTATTAAATTAAAGGAAACTCTAATCTGAACCACACTAATGCCTTGGTAAAACAATCTCGAGTGATTCCCCTAGCAACTCTGAGTGAGT